CCGACCAGGTCGTGGGCGGCCAGCCAACGCCTTTTTCCCGATCGGGAAGAGACGGTGCATATGCTTGTTTTTTAGCTCGCCCACATGCGCCAGGCCCAGCGCACAGCCCAGCTGAGGCTAGAGCTACCTCTACCTCGAAGCTAACGAGAGGAAAATCAAGGTGAATGAGTGAGCGTGGTGAGGTACTCCATACCTTCAGGTGAAGTGATGTAATGGGGAAGGACACCGGGTAGCTGCCAAATAAAGCTAGCAAATTCGATGCTGCCGCCAATTATAATGCCAATGCCAATGCGAATTGCCAACATCATACGGGAGAGCACAACCGAATCATCGACCCTGGACTCACACTCGCCTTCCTGTACCTACCAATGTACTCGTTAGGTCCTGCCGCTGTCATTCGACGCGAGATAAGCGGGCAGGGTCAAAGCTATGGTTCCTGTCCTTTTTCAGCCCCTCCTGCCAATACTTTCTCAGCTCTTGGATGGGCAGGCGAGCTGGGCCCAGAACGTGAGGAATGTCACCAAAGACCTGTATCCGTAGGCTAGCCTCCTTCTCTCGCAGTATGTCTCTCTTTTTTTTCCTCCGTCCTCATCGTCATCTTTTTTCTCTTCCTTCCATCTGCTCCACCCAAAGACCCCAACCTGCGCCTGCCTCCCCGGTCCCGTCCATTGAATGAGTGACACTGTGACAGTGAGGTAGCTCATCCCGTCGGACCCCGTCAGCCATCTTCATCGCCTGCTACAATCGTCCTCCGGTCTGCACTCCGACCCTTTGTTCTCCTTTCGTCATTGCATCTTCCCGTCGAGCTCTCTAGCGATCAAGAAAGTGCTTCTTTTGCTCATCACGGTCTTTAAGCAGCACATCTACGCCCACTGACACAAAGATCTCACATTTTGCGTGAAAACCCCCCTTCAAACCTTCCATTCGTCTCCCAACATCTACGGCGCAAACAAAATGAGAAACGCTGTTCTTCTCGCCGCCGGCCTGACGGCTGTTCGTCACGCATCTGCCGCGTACGATACGACAATCTGCGGCAAGACAAACAAGTTTACGAGCTCAGATACCCAATTCATCTGTACGTGGATCCCCCATCACACTCCTAGGTCTGACTCCGGGTCATTCGACGACACCTACTTCCATGTAAACGCCGTCAACCTAAATTCAGCACAACATACTCGTTTTGCCTTTTATCGTGGATCAGGCTAATACGAGAATTCTGCAGTCCAGTCAAATGCTTGGAACCCAGTTGGAAATGGCTCCTCGTGCGTATCGGTAAGTAGTGTGACGTGACCAACCGTCCTATCTGGGCTTGAGAGTCTATCTACACCTCGTGGCTCCTATCATGCCCCTCTCCTACCCATATCATACCATCCCGCTCCCGTCAGCCTGCCTCGACCCTGCATATCATCACGAGCTCCGTCGCGACTTTCTTCCACCTGCCATTCTTATCAGCCTTCTCCTCCCATGCCCGGAAATCCTGTGCCCTCATGGCCTGACCACATCGACTAACACGATGCTCTTCGCGACGCGTAGGTTGACCAATCCATTCCGGCCTTCGATGCCAACTGGAACTGGGAAGATGACAAGAACAACGTCCACTCATTCCCCCATGTCCGCTTCAACTCCACAAGACTGCCAACCAAGCTGAGCGCCATCAAGACGATGCGCCTGGCGACGCAATGGACCATGCGCAAAGGCAACCCCGAGAATGACCCCCCTCGCGACTTTGCCGCCACCACCTGGGCGGAGAGCAAAGCCGAGCTCAGCGGCGTCGTCGCCAATGCCGCGTGGGATTTCTTTGTCGACAAGAACAAGACTAAGACGTACAACCCCATTGACTCGGAGGCGGAGATTATGATCTGGCTGGGCAAGGTCGGAAACCCGTACCCGCTAATGGGCGATTCCATTCTCACCAACATCACACTCGGCTCGACAGAGTTGTAAGCATTTCTCCCAGGTTCCCCCCGCTCGTGATTTTTCACGTATTGGGGACCATATTACGGTGATGCTGACGTGCTTCTGCAGCTCCCTCTGGTTCGATACCAACCAGCGCAACCAAAAGGTCTTTACCTGGGTCACGCGCGACGGTTCCGACGTCACCCAGTTCGATGAGGATATCACGCCGCTACTCAAGTTCGTCCTGGACTCTGGAGAGATTGACAGCGACTCGTGGCTCGGCTTAGTCGAGTTCGGCTCAGAGGCATGGCATTCACCGGAGAACATCACCTTCAGCGCGGCTCACTTTAGCATGGACCTCGACAACGGCGACAGCGGTTCAAGCAGCGGCAGTGGTAGCGACGATAAGAACGCGTCCGGAAGAAGCGCGCTTTCGGTGTTGGGTCTGGCTTCGGCTTTGCTACTGTCGATTTCGGCTTTGGCTATGTAAATCCACATGCTTTTCACTTTTGTTACTACAAACAAGTCCGCGTAAAGGCGGAACGGGATGACGGCTTGGAGTACAGCATTTGACTGGTTTGTTGATGATATCCGGGGTTCAAAATAGCAGTGAATTCGAGGTTGTTTGAACCTCGACAGACATTGTACTTAATCAATACATAATCGCATAGAGAGAGCACGGGAACTTTTTCCACGCCTCGAATAAGCGTGTTTTTGTGACGTTGTCTACAACCCCGAGCTAAGATCATCCAGACTTTGTCTTACTTCTTGAGGATAATTCCTGACTCTACGGAAAATCCACATCAGCTACGTGTGACCAACAGCAAGGCTAGCCTTGAAGCTCTAAAAGATCCCGGAGCTCGCGCCGAAATCTCGATTGGAGGGGTCACCGGAAGGAGCGTACCTTGCCTGGACGGTGACATATTCTCATGCGAGATCGCTGGTCACACACACATGCACACACACACAGGCACCCTCAGTAATCAGGCCATTCAGAGAAGATAGCGGCCTCCCAGAAAGCCAAGCCGGAAAGAGAGCACAGTCTAAACATAGCACTTTCCAGTCATCATCCGAATGGCGTTGCCTCCCTCGCCTCCAGTGTCCGCATCCTAAGCCCCAGCCTCTGCTGAACATCCTCTTTCGAGCTGGACAGAGACAGTGTCAGCCACTGACGGTTGTAATACGGTCGAAAGCCTACTTCTTGCCGCTTGTTAGCAAGAGCGTGTGTATGGCGGTCCGATGCGGGCATTAGGCGTGAGCAGTAGGGACATTAGCATGCAGTAAGCCAGCGATTGATACTCTGGGCCTCGCGTTGTTTATTGCCAGTCTCCAGCCTGCAGACGGAAGACCGTTTTCGACGAACCATGCTGAGAACGCGTATGGCAATCTCGTTTTCCATGAGTTGGTGGTGGGCAGCATGCATCTCGGCGCTCGCAAAGGATCAGTTGCCGGGATGTTTTTTTAATGGAGACAATGTGGCATGGCATGGATGATGGATGGAGGGTGGGATGGTGGGATGGTGTGCACGGTCTTGGCGGAGATGGTAGGGAAAGGGGCGGGTTGGGCGGAGCGGGATTGGAGAAGAAGGAGACTGGACTGGTTGGTTTTCGGCTGGCGGCTTGCCTCACAGGCCAAGAGACCAATACCATACTGGTGACGGGGAATCAGGTTGGCTCTACCTACTCCGTATGCAATCCGACGGGAAGAGGAAAGGAAATTGTACCAAGATGCTGCGTCATCGAGATCCACGCCTCGGAGAGTGGCCTCAATCCGGGACAGCAAGATCCGTAGGACAGTCGCAGAACAATAGTCTGATATCCACATATGGCGAGAAGCGGCGGGAGAATTGGTGTTGTCGTTTCAATGTTGACGGTGTGAGGAAAAACCAAGGAAAAAAGACCAGGAGCTTATCTGGCGCGCCATTCTTTCGTATTGGCGGCTTGGCGCGCGTGCCGCCATGCCGAAGTAGCCAAGACAACGGGCGGCTTAAACGGCGACGACAACGTATGGATATGGGTGGCGGAGAGGAGTTAGAGATCGCGGAATATTCGTTTGACTCCTTTCTTCTTGCCGATGATGTGCTGCAGGATAGCAACCGAGATGGGGATGTCAGTTCAGGTTTTGCGTACTGTTCACCCCTTCATTACGGATATTTAGCCGCATTTTGAGGGTACTTCAGGAACATGGTAGTTGTCACTCCCCAATATGTACCGCTGTGAGCGTGCGATTATTCGCTTCGCCGCAAAACAGTGCCTTGTACCGTGCTTCAGCGCGGAGTGGGATGCAGCTCAGGACTTCAGATAAACCATCCCGATGAAAGCGAAAAATGACCTATGGATGATGTTGCGATAGCGGAAGCTCCAGCGGGCGACAATAGACACGAGACCGGGGTAAACCAGGTCGCCCCAGCCGTTCAGCTGGCTTTGGCTCGCCATGTCTCGGTATTGGGGAACCGGATCGACGTGGCGGGTGTGAATCGTCAACAAGATGTTCTGTGACTTTGCTAGGTGAGTCGAGACTTTCATGGCCCGCGTGGCACGGTGGATCCGATGGAATTCGTGGTAGCTGGGGTGCGGAGGAGTCTTGGGGCCCATTGTTCCAATGGAACGGCGGGATGCGAGGCTCGAGAGCGAGAACGACAGGCGAAATTATTGAAGAATGCCCCAGTCAGATCAGGAACCGGAGCGTCAATGTGGGTAGAGAGAGTCCGGTTGGCGTTGGTACATCTTCTATAGAAGGCGCTTGATCATCGTCTTTCTGAGAAGATCCCGATCGCCAGTGTTCGTACGAGCCATTGCCAATAGTCAAAGGCTCTTCTCGAGACTCTGTGACCGCAAAGATACCTGGCAAGCGTCATCGTTGCTCAGGCCAAGCGCGATGTAAGACAAGGATTCGTCAGCGATGCTCTGCAGAGGGGACGGGCGGGGGCGGGCGGCGACCGATATTGCCGCTGCTCATTCAAAAGGTAAACGGCGGCGACGGAGACTGCTGAGCCAAGGAGCAGAAGAAAGAAACACTGCAGAAAGACAACGGTGAGCTATCCGTCAAACACGCGAGAGAGCACGCGCCAGGGAATGAGGATGTCGAAATAGCCTCTGAGGTGGATGCTGTCAAGGTTTACGCTTATTAGCTTATTGGCGTGGGCAACGTATGCGTATGTAGTCAGGTATCAGTGGGCAAGCGAAGGAAGAAACGGTCTCGAACTGGTGGCCCAATTGCGCGGTATTGAGCCTCCAAGGCTTTGGGGCTGGAGAGGGTATTGGTGGGCCAGTCAGACAGGATGCGCATGATGGGTAGAAGTCGCTGGCGTTGTTTGCATGTGCTGCAGTGGCAATACGAGTAGCGTGGCGGTTTTGACCATCAGATATCTGAGAGAGGTAGGTATGCGTTGTTGGTTGGCATTAGTCGTCCGTCAGTAGGGCGACGTTGGAGAAGCCCACAAGCCACAGACGGGGTGTTGAAAAGTTGGAACAAGCCGAGGAAGACAAAGGAGGCTGGTGTCTCTCTTCAGGATTGCAAGTTCCCAGATCCCAGCACAGCTGAAGGAATGGAGCTTCAGACAGCCCGGCGACTACCGATGGTCGATCTGATAGCAACGGCCGCCGGCTCGGGTCTAGTAGCGTGGTAATGTGGTTAGCAGTGATTCAGTGAATGCCAATCGTGGGCCCATTCCCACCGTGGGCTAGCTCAACGCTTTGTGTTTTTGAGTTCCAAGGTTATCTGCGTAGCGCGGCGGGTCAGAGAAGTTAGCTGGCAGCCTGGCAGACGTTGAATCAGAATTTTTTCGATGATGGCGGCACTGAGCAGATTGCAGGTTTGAAAAGGGCCGGAAAGCTTGCTGCACTTTGAAGCATGCAAGTCGATAGTGCGTAGATGTGTGCGGGATGGTTCGCTGTGTGGTATCGGCATCCCGGTTGATGCTGTCAAATGGCGGTCCAGATTGATGCTCTGACCATCAAAGGTCCGCACATTTTGACAGGGACAGCCTGCTCGACAGCTGCCAACCCTGCTCCTGCCTCTTTTCCCTGCCGTGGTTGTAGCTCCTTCATCTTCGATCTCCGCTCTGCGGTGTTCCTTATTGATTCTTATCCGACGTACGGAGGATGCGGTACACATAATTTGCGAGCAAGGAGGCACAAGTGAGAGCAGGAGCGACAGCGTGCCCGACACAGCAAGAAGTGGGGGTCTATCTACCCAAGGTACCTACCTTGTCCAGATACGAACCTCAGAGATATGAACCACGACAGGCAGGCAGGTGCAACAAAACAGGCCACAACAGGCGGGAAGGAAGATAGAAAGAAGTAGCTGCTCATCCGGAAGGCGGCCGACACGATGAGGCGCTGTGGTGGCTGCAGTTCGTGCCGTTGGTGGCTTCTTCCCACAAGTTCCCAGAGCAAGTCGCATGTCGACTTTCCCTCTGGGGCCTTGGCGCCCGTGATGTGGTTGACGCTAGCACGCCTGCAGGTCTACCCCTGTTCATGATCCGGTACGTACACTACTGTGATAGTCAGCTCATGGTTCCGTTGCACTTGCCGATAAGGTAGGTAACGTCTTGGCGGCTCTTTCCCAGGCCCATGGGCTTTTTCCAATGTCCATCCATCCCGTCCCATCCTCGCCTTGCCCTCTGGTGTTTGCGCTTGCAAGAATTTTCCGAGTAACTGCCCTGAATTGTTAGTCCAAAAACGCCGCAAATGCAACAGGCAAACCGGGAAATAGGCCCACGTTTGATGATGCAGGTGGCTTTTCCTTTCTTGCCCACCCTGTCTCTCCCGCGACTCCCGCCTGCCTGCCCACCTGCCACCTGCTTTGCGGTTTGCCATACTATGGATGGCAGGCACGGGACACCTACCTTATTTCCCACAGCCCTGCTTTGATCTTTTGTATCCTTCCTCTGGAACTGCCATCTGGGACATGGCTATTATCTGACGCCTTCTTTGCTTCCATGGGTACTCTGTACGGAGCAAGGTATCTTGCTCTCTGAACTGGCAGGCGAATGTTTCCCTCATTGACATTTACAGGCTGCATTGCCCAATCATGTACGGAGTCCACTCCGACCGGCCCCACTCCACTCCGGCGTGGCATCAGATTATGTTTCCCATGCTCTTCTCATTCTTCGTGCTTTCCTAACTCTTGGATCCAAGTCATGATTTCTCTCCGCTCCGTTTTGTCACTTTTTGCCCAGCTTCTCTTCCTGGCTGATTCCCTTTGGCCCAGCCCCCTGCCTTCATACCCCCACACAACTTATTGTATCGGTACTTGACTCCGTAGCCATGTGGAAATCCTAAAGCCAGGTCATTTCCCCCAGAGCTTCGCGGTTCACCTGCAGTCTGCGGCGACTGTCAACCTTCTATGCAGATTTCGGCCATGGACAGCAACCTACGGTCATTAGCCTTGAGCTAGCCGTAGCACGCTGCTACGCTGCCATACCTTGATCTGAGATATTGGGTCCAACTGCAATGGCACCTGCTAGGGCCAGTAGGTATTCTGACTCTTTCCCAGCGGTGATGTCACAACATCTCTCCCACCGGGCCATTGCCACGATTTGCAAGCGACGGGAGTCAACACGATCCGTAACCAGGCAGCTAAGCGGATGCAGACATGAGAGACATACCCGCAGTGAAACGGCCCTTGTAACCGCCAAACGGTCCAATGGTCGCTGTATCCCTGCCACGATCCTTTTCACTTGCCCACACATTAGCCACGGGTGGGCTGGCGACTCGCGGGGATATTCATGGCAGGGGCAGAGAAATGTCCTTGTCGATTTTGCAGAAGATACCTACGATCCAGACATTATTCAACGAATAAACATGGTCATCTTGGAAGCAAGCCCGGAGCAGCCCAGCCCAGCCTAGCAATGAGGTACTTACCTACGGAATACCACCATACTGTACGTATTCGTGCCTCATTCTGTGGCCGTGATACCGTATTCACATCCTTGCAGGAGGAAGCAAGACGGTGTGTTTACTCCTGCTTGGCCTGAAGTGGCCTGCTACTACGGCTCGCCTTGTCTTCCTCTGCCCTTTCTCCAGGCCGTTTATTCCTGTTTCTCGTATGCTCGCGTGTCTGTCTGGGCTATACGCATGCCGTAAGGTAGCCGCACCTTCCTCTCTCCACGCTGTGGTGAACCTGCCTGTTTGGGTCCGCTACATTCACCAGCCCCATCCTATCTCGGCTTCACCTTGGGCTCTCACCACATCCAATCCCGGTTACTGCCTGTATTCCACTCCACCTCACCTTACCTCGCCTCTCCTAAGGAACCCTACACCTTCTCCTCCGTCATTCCGCCGTCTGTGTGGCTTATCTTGAACAAAACCTTTCCTCCCTCCGTCCCGCTCGTTGCACCTAGAAGCTAGACGTTGGCTCCTAGTCCTCCGCTGCCATCATCGCGCTACTCTCGCCGCCTCGCCCGCTCGCTAGTTCAACTCCACGAGGCTGGTCTACTTTCAATTTTCAGTCACTCGCTTTGACGACTTTCGCTGCTCTCTCTTTCTTCCAGCTTCGAGCTCTTGTCACACACTCACCCGCGTTCGGTGCCGAGAGCCCTGCCGTCTACTTCGAGGAACCTAATGGGAGTACATTGACACTTGAAGCCATCTTCGTTTGCCTCACCACCCCTTCCGCGCACTCGCTATACTGCCAGCCCGAGCCGACTCTCGATCTCCTTCACACATAGTAATCTTGTGTGAAAGTAGCTCGTGTCGCTTTACGGGAACCTGATACCACAATGTCGCCTCCTTACACAACACGGGGAGCTTCTCCCGACTCGAGCCTGACGCCCCCGACTAATCCGTTCGGTTCTAACCCGTTCGACACCGACAACGATTCGAGCGCGGCCCCTTCTCTTGCCAGTGACTCGACTTTTACTGTGGTACGCTTCCATGAAGTGCCACTGGCGATGGCTTCCGGCCTGAAGGAAAAGGGACTGACATATCTCAGAACGCTGTTGGGCAAACACATCCGTACGACACCACAGACAGATCAGGTCAGAGATCGAGCTGGGCCGACTCTTCTCACCACCGTCTAAGCAGACCCGATATCGTAGGTTGCTCAACATCCGTTTCTCCAAGCCCAACTAACAGGTACCAGGAGCCCTCGCCGCTGGGCAGAGAAGTTCCGGTCTATAATGAAAAGGGCCATCACCAATCCTCTTCTGAGACGGACGTTGAAGCTAGCCATGTTCCGCCTGTTATTTCTGACCCCGAGAAGGCAAAGGAGACGCACACGACCGCACTTCCACCCTCATCAGGCGAGTCTTTTCCCAAGAGACTTTACGGGCGTTTCCGCGCAACCTACTGCCCCAAGGAAGAGCCGCCTTTGGTCTTGCCTGTATGCCCGAACGACACCGAGAAGCTCAGCTACGTTCACACCAACCGACTGCTTCTCTACATCTTTGGCGTCTTCTCTTTCCTCTCGCTCGGCGCCGGAATGTGGCTGTTTGCGCTCTCTGCCCCGGCATTCTACTGGTATGGCGTCTTCGCGGGAGCAATGTGCATCTACTTGTTGATCTCCTACGCCGTCGGAATCATTGGACGAGACTGGGATTACAAGGCTCACTTGGATTTGGTTGAGCGCTTCCCTATTACCGAAGACAACGCCCCGACTGTTGATATCTACCTCCCCTGCTGTTCCGAGCCCATCGAAATTCTGGAAAACACATATAAGCACATTGTCAATATTGATTGGCCTGCGTCCAAGCTCCAGGTTCACGTCATGGACGACGGCAACTCGGAACCGGTTCGACTTCTGGCTGAGAAATATGGCTTCAACTACTCCGTTCGCGATGACCGGCCCCGTCTCCGAAAGGCTGGCAACCTGCGATGGACCTTTGCACAGACCAGCGGAGAGTTCTTTGCCATTTTCGATGCTGACTTCTGCCCACGCCCTGACTTTGTTAAGGAATTGATGGTTGAGCACTTGGGCGATGATAAGACGGCCCTTGTTCAGAGCCCTCAGTACTTCCGCGTCACTGACGACCAAACTTGGGTTGAGCAGGGTGCAGGTGCCACTCAGGAATTGTTCTACCGTGTCGTGCAGGTCAATCGTAACAGATGGGGAGCCTCAATCTGCGTTGGTAGCAATGCTCTCTACCGTCGTGAGTCTCTTGTCGAGGTCGGTGGAACGGCCGAAATTGGCTTCTCCGAGGATGTTCACACTGGGTAAGTTTGATCCAACCAACTTGCAAGACCATTGACTAATATTTCACAGTTTTGGTGCGGTTGACCGCGGCTGGAAGGTCAAGTACATCCCTCTCTGCCTCGCCACCGGTGTTTGCCCCAACTCTCCTCGCGCCTTCTTCTCCCAGCAGATGCGATGGGCTCGTGGTTCAACGACTCTTCTTACAAACGGCCACTTCTGGGTCTCGAATCTCACCCTCATGCAAAAGATCTGTTATCTGTCAGGTTTGTACTTCTTCTTCACAGCGATACAGCGACCATTCGCCCATCTAACCAAATGCAGGCTTCTTGTACTACGCTGCAGTTTCACTCAACATCTTCCTTGCCCCTATTGCCGGCACTCTTCTCCTTGCTATCCGCCCGGAATGGTTCAAGTTCTGGAACCTGGCTTTTGCTATCCCTTCGATCCTATATGGTGTGATCCTCATGCGTTGCTGGGCTAAGGCCAAATATGGCTTCAACGTGCAGCATGCCATGACGGTTCAGAGCTACGCCTACCTCACCGCTATCAAGGATCGTCTCTTCAACATTGAGCTTCTCTGGGCTGCATCTGGCGACTCCAAGGCCCACAAGAGCAACAAGTATCGCAACATGCGCCTGCTTTGCATCATCTGGACCCTAATTGTCACTGGTGCCATGGTCGGTGTCGTCACATGGCGCCTTGTCACTGGCTTCACCTGGTACCACCCCTTACCACTGATCATCATCAACGTCTACAACCTGTTTATCAACCACTACTTCATGTTTTGCAACTGGTAAAATTCTACCGGTGTCTAGGCATGCGAGGGTTGTGAAAACGATGAAGAGGTGTTTGTTATTAAAAGCTTGCATTATACATGGACAAATGGAGTCAAGACATTTGATTTTTCGCGATCGAGATGACGGAGGTAGCATTGACGGTTTTACTCGTATGGAAACGGCCTTATACCATGGACATAGACGCAAGCACTTAAGTCTGCCTGCACACACTGCTTCCACAGCATACATAGTTGGTGTTCTTGTATATCACGGTGGATAGAGTAATCGTGGAAGTACCCTGGCAGCGCTGCTGCTCTTCATAATCATATCAATAGTAATACTTGTACGAAGAATTTGCGATCTCTTTCATCCTTGAAAGTAATTTGTCGACCTCGAGACTCGCTTAGGAGTCTCGGAGTTTCGTCTTCTGCTCCCAGCTCGCCTGCTCGTGTTCGGCTGTGCCACATTCTTCGTAACCTTAGAGTCGCAACAATTCTTCCGGATCAAATCTAACACCTCGTGTATTTAATGGATTCAAGCTATTCATATGCTTCCACACATCTTCGGGGTTGTCATAGTTCTCAATCATTCAATCTGGTATCGATCCTCGGGGGGCCGTAAAGATTGCATTTGTTTCGCCAGCCCAGATAGGGCAGCCATCTCGTCCTGCTCCTTACTGAGTCGAAGCCTTGAGTATTCATTTACTGTCCGATACCACAGAGATTGTGGGTCTTTCTAAAGGATACCATATGGAACATAGAGATATGCCCTCCCGCTCCATTTATCTTCGGAAGTAAAATCTTGGTCGTTGTCCATGCTCTCGCTTTTCTGTGAAAACCGGCAAACCCATACCACTTCCTGGGCACAGAAGTGCAGTACCCGTCGTGAAAGTGGCATTTCCTGATAGGCCCATCCACGACTCAAAAGTGGCCAGTCTGGGCTTTCTCTTATTTGATACTCCCTCGACATAAGTGGAAAGTCAGGAAGTTCATGGCGAACATATGTGTCTTTGTACCCTGGAGAGAGTTTGGACATGTACTTGTCATTTGTTTGTCTGAAACAACCACCAGACGCGTCGCTAGAATTTGTTGCTGCGATTGTGAGATATGCGTTTGCATAAATATTGGCCATTTGCGCAGCCTGTTCCGTCCAATCTGCTATGGAATCTCGCAAAATGCACAATGAATCGATCCACAAATACGAGACGTCTAGACGACGACAGACCGTGATTGCATCCTGGAATGTTGCATTAAGTTGATGCCAAGGTATGTTTCTCTGGTGATCCTTGATTGTCTCTTTGGTGGTTTTGGTGATTTGGGCGCTTTCACCCCAACAATAGCTCAGGCATACATAACGCTGCTGCCCAACGTTCTCCCGCAGAATAACTTGATTCTCGTTGATCTGGAGAAGTCTTTTCGGTGAAGCTCGTTGACCATGCCCGTGCTTGCCACTTTCATAACAACAGACTTGAAATACACTCATTAAGCCAACCTTTGATTGTTCGAAAGGTTGCCTCGGAGCTTGTGTTTCCTGGAAGGTGAGCAGCAATCCTTTTTGAGTGTAACGGGTTTTTTTCCTGGCCTATGAAATCATTGATCAGCCGTGTGAACATAGACGAAAATCATGGCATGGTAGACCATCTCCCCAATATCCGACATCTGCTACTAACAATCACTGGTCGTAGTGCTTAGTGTGGAGCGATTTACCATCTGTAGTGAATATATCGACCCTTGTATCTTCGTACGACTCCATACAATAGACTCGGAAGGCATGGTCTTGGTGAATGCTGATTTTATAGACTTGCTGCGCATCAATCGGAGCCAATCTAATACATTGATCGAGGAAGACGCACCGAGAGCAGCCGTTTTGTCACGTAACAGGGATAGTAATCGCACCTTACGAAGTACCCGTCACGTACTAAATTACGTATCTATCTTAGATATCGTATATATAGACCTTTTCTTTTTATCTATTTCTATTTTAATAATTAAGCTACTTTTATTATACTCCGTATACTTATTACTACGTACTATAACTTATAATAATTATAAGCCTAGCTCTTAATTAAGACCTTATATTATAATAACGTACTTATTAATATAATTTTTATAATCTTTTTAAAATAACTAATTTATTTATATTTATTTTAATATAAACTAAATTAACTAATTACGATAGTTAAATTAAATAGTTTAACGTATTTTATATTATAAATAAGAGCGTTAGGGTCTAGAAATACGTTAACTTAAATACTCTAAATTTTAACGTATTTTTTAACCCTTTTATAATACTTGCTTTACTTTTTAAATTTAGATAATTAGTTATAACTTATAATAAAAAAGAACTACGAGCTTATTAAGCCCGTTATAAAGTATTTAAAAACGATTAAAAAAACTAAGAAATCCTTTATTAATAATTTCTAAATATAACTCTTAGTACGAACTTTTTAATTTCTTTAAATATAAATAACTTATAGGACTAAGCTGGGTTTTTTTTTATAAAGCTAGTTATATTACTTATTTTATATAAATAAATTTATTTTTATACTATATTTATAAACAGGATCTATATATTTAAAAATATTTAGAAATAATAAGAGCTTAATACTAAATATAAGTAACTTATAGCTTATAAATATAATATTATTAATATATATATTAAAGTCCTTATTTAGTAATTAATAAAATTAGTTAATATTATATTATATAAATACGTATTTTAAAAAGCTATTAAGAACGGCGCTAAGTTTAGTATATAATAAATCGTTAAATATTTAAAATAAAAATTTATGCCCCCCGAACTAGTAATAAGGAATGCAGTTTAAAAAGAATATTAATAAGCCCTTAATAAAACGAGGATTAGAATTAACTTTTAATATTAATATAAAAAATAGTAATCTATTTATTTCTAAACTAAAACGTACAATATTTTAAAAATTAGTAAAAAGATTACCGTATTTGATTTTTTAGTTATAGTTAAGTCTAAACTTAACCCTATATAAAATTAATATATATATAAAACTTTTAATAAATTAATAACCTTTGGAATATATATAAGGACCCTTAAAGAGATTATATATATATTTAGCTTAGTAACCTAAGACGTATATATTAAACGATTTTTAAATTAAAAAAGGGCTTATTTTATTTTTATTAGACGCTCTAACTTAGTTAACGATATAAATAGGAAGGGTAACGTTATATATTTTTATAATTATATATACTTATAGCGCCCTATAGCGTACTAAAAATTAAAATAAGTATTTATAAATTAAAATACTAATAAGTTATTAATATAAATACTAAGGAGCTATATAAAAAAAGTCCTCGTTATTATTAAATTAAATAAATAGAAATTATTTTATAATAAGCTTAAAAAAGCTAGTTAGCTAAAGAACGATAGAACCCCTAAGAAACCTAAATTTTTAAAAGGATTTTTTAATTAACTTATAGCGAGCTTATTAATAAACTAAAACGAGGGCTACGTAATCGCTATACTTATAAAAAGTTAGGACTTAAAAATAAATATAATTTTTAGTACCCCTATAAATAGTACTTACTCCCTTTTTTAGAATATAGTAATAAATAGTTATAAAATAATATATTTAATTAATAATAAGAGCTTATTTAAATTTAAGAATTACGTATTATTAAGTAATAAAAATTATATTAAATTAAGAATTATTATATTACTTATTACTATACGCAATACTCGTATTATAAAAGGCGTTTTAAATAGATTTAAAAAAAAGAGAACTTACGATTTAAAACTCTAAAACGTCGCTTATATTAAGGGATTTTATATTAATATAGTTTTAAAGACTTTACTAAATAGAAGCGTATTTTAATATTACGGTCTAAATTATACTTTATAATAAAAAACGCTTTATAAGAGTACTATTAAAAAGTAGCTTATTTAAAAAAAATAATTTAATCTTCTTTAAATATAAGCTCCTCTAATCCTATTTTTTTTTTATAAACCTTAAGTATATCCTATAGAGCTTAGCTAATATTATATTACTAATTAGTTATAAAAAATTCTATTACTTATATTAACGTATTTATAAAAAGTTTAATAGCGCGCTCTTTTAATATTTTAAAACGGGTTATTTTAAATTTAATACTTTTTAATAATTATTATATAAAACTCGAGGTATACGTATTAAACTTCTATTATAAGTTAAATATAAAATATATATATTATTTAATATTAAAATAGTAATCTTAAAAAGACTACTTTTAAGAAGAGCCTTATAGCTATAGTATTATATATATTAAGATCTCTTTTATTTTAAACTATTTTTTAGTAAATAATAATATATACTTATAGCTTTTAATAAATATAATGGGTAGCTTAGGGAGTTTTTTTTAAAAATTAAAATAGAAAAAAAAGTATTTTTTATACTATAGAGCCTCGAAGTAGCGATTTATTATTAAAAAAGGACTCTAATTTATTTTTTTAAAAATAATAATAAGACTACCTTCCTAATTATAAACGTTAAATACGTATATAAGACGTAATATAATAAGCTAAGAATTAAAATAGAACTTTTATTTTTATATATAAAAAAACCCGTAAATAACGCTAAAAGAGTAGGTTAATTCGTAATTACTAAAGCTTATAAAATATACTTTTTTATAAACCTCTTTATAAATTTATAAAATAAAATAGTACTAATAATAATCTTTATTTATAATATTACCCTATAAGAAACTAATAAAAAGAATTTACTTATTATAATAAAAATTAACTAGTAAAAGTAGTATTAACGCTAGTAATAAACGGGTTACTAAATACGGGATTCTAAACTAATTACCCCGTATCTTAATAACTTTTATATATATAGCTACTAAGTATACCCTTTTTATAAAAATTATAAAAGGGGTATACGTTAAAAAGAGTTTAAAGTACTTCCCTATAGGTATATAAAATACTTAATTAGATATATACTAAAAATATATAATTTATATAAGGTCTAAGTACCTACGCTTAAATAAGTATTTATTATAAAGAATATTAAGTTTAATAAAAAAGTCTTTTATAATCCCGTATATAAAAAATAAGCTATTATAAACGAGTAAGTAAATTTAGTAATTTAAAAAATATAAAAACTTTTTAATATTAATAATAAGCTAGTTTAAGTACTTAAAAAAGTAAATCTAAACTTTAAAAATACTAATATTTAAAATAACTCTATAATCGAAAATAATATTATTATTAAATTTTTAATTATTTAAAACGCTAAGTAATTAATAAACGTACTTTAGAATATAGTTAATAAAACTAAAGAGGCTAATATAGTCTTATTATTATTACTAACCCCTAAAATAACCCCCTTATACGAGCTTAAGAATAGGAGTAAAAAAAAGGATATAATAACTAAGTTATAAACGGCTCTATATAGTTTATAATCCTCCCTATAAATATTTTTATATATTATAAAAGTTCTCGAGCTTTTAATTCTTAATAACTCTTAATAAAACGCTAAAGTACGTAATAAATAAAGTACTAATTATAAAAAAGTAATTTTTAATACTAAAGTTAATATTAATAAAGAACTTTTATAATAAACCTTTATTATTATATAAAAATAGAGCTTATAAGAACTATTTTATTAAGTACTAAGTAAAGCTTTATTAAGTTCTAAATATTTAAACCGGGCCTATAAACTTTTATAACGCTTTAATAATAATATTTTTATAACGCTGTTATATTTAAATATAAAAAATAGTAATTATTATAACCGTTTTTAGGACTACTTTTTCTTTATTTTTATACTTAATTAGTAAAAGGCTATAGAAAAAAGTAATATAAGATATATAATATTTTATTAAATAATAAAAAGAGTAGTTTATAGGACTTATTTAGAGCGTTCTAAAGGAGTTTAGAAACTATAACTTATTAAAATTAACTTTTAGAACTTATTAAAAAAGTTTAGTAATATTAAATATCTCTTATTATAACTATAAAAACTACTTAGGGATATTATAAATATAGAAATAAAAAAGCTAAGGGATATTAGTATATAAAAAGAGGTTAACTATAATTTTAAATAAGGGATCTTATTTTTATTAAAATAAGTATATACTTATAAGTACGACGTTAATAACGAAGTTAGTAAAATAAAAGTATATATATATATAAAAGAGGATATATAACTACTTAACCCCTTATAAAATACGTACGCTTTAATACTTATTATAAAAGCCTTTAGGCTTATAATAATAATAATTACCTAATTTAACTTTAAAATAGATTAGTATAATATTATTAACGTATTCCTTAATACGCTTCTTAAGAGCGAGAAGTTAATAATTATTAAATTCCTAAAGGGATATAAAGTTATTAATAAAATAAATAAGCTCTAACGTACTCTATATAGCCTCCGAGACTTATTAATTCTCTAGTTTTAAACTTTTATTTTTATATTTCGTAATATAAATATAATATATAACTACGAGGAGATTTATATTTACTAAACT